AGCTTGGTCAGCCTCTTCAAACATGGTAACAATATCCTCCATTAACTGATCCAATTCTGTAAATTCAGGGGATATCCCAGAGCTCTTTTCTTCTTCAACAACGTTCTTTTTGTACCTTCTCTCCAGCGGCAGATATCGGTCTCTGAGTGACCTCTGTGTAACCCGAAATTTCAATTCATCGCACTTTCCTAAACGTGTAGCCAAGTTAGCCCAAGCTTCGCCTCTTTCACTGCTCCCCTTTTTATGCAGCCATGGCTCAAAATACATCATTTCTTTCAAGAAATGTACATCATGTGCTTCTGACCACTTCATAGGTGGAGAGCTAACAAGAGAGTTAAATAGATTAATCAATGAAATATTTTAGATTAAGAATTTAAAGCCCTCGCAGAACTTGGGGCTCGTTTTTTTTTTTTAAATTGTGAAATCAGTATCTGCCTGCCATTTCTGACAGTTTTTGCCAGGCTCGAGTCTTGGTTTGGCCCCTACAATTATGGGGTAACCTTGTGGCAATGTAAACAGTGTAAAGTACCACAATTACTGTATCTTGGCTCAAGCCAGGTCAGAGCTGGCATTGTAAACACGACTTATCAAAATACAAGCCAGATATTTTAAAATTCAACACAATCTCAATAGTTCCATCAATAAAATATTGTATGTATTGTTTTGTTAAAGTGAAAGCCACGATTTATAGCTTTCAATAACAAAGCACATTGTCCAGAAAATCCATAGCTGCTTCCTAGTGCATGAACAAAAAATACCTAATATAACTGCACGATTTCGTTAAAAATCTATATTAAATATAGTGTCTATGTAAAATGTTATATATTGTGTGTGTTTGTGCAATGTACTCATATGAATGATGATGTTTGTGATGTTACTCGATATATAGCTCGGAGTGTGTATCCACACTGGGCAAGCTTAAAAAATATGCCTGGCCACGTTGGGAAAAGAGATTGGTTTATATACTATGCTGGCAATAGTACCAAACATTCACGAATTCGTCCCATTTTGACAAATGTTTCGGCGCTAAATTCACATTTTACTAATCTGTTTTTGATTCTACGTAATGTTCTAAAACCATTGAACAAAATACATATAATTGTAGACTATATTCACCTGTTTTCCTTTGACATTCTTCTCACGTTCGAGCTCACGTTTCAACGCAACGCCAAAACAAGCCAGGCGCCGTCGTTCCAGCTTCTGACAACTCGAGTTTCCCGCCATGCGCAGTTACAACGTTTCACTGTTTGGCGTTGGCGTTCTCGTTCTCGTCATGTAATCGTAAGGTCCCTATTATGAGCTGATATATGGCGAGTATTTCAACCAATAAGATTGCAGAACAGCTCATATATGGTGAATGACTATATTTATAATGATAGTTTTACAGTGTAAGAATGTCGAAATGCAAAGAGGTAAAATTTCACCTACTCTACCCTGCCTCTCTTGTTATCATGAAAATTCGAAGTTAGTAGCATTTCCAACTTGTTACGCAAAACAAAGTCAGTAAAAGCACGCTTGCCGCCGTAAAAATGAGTATAGTGTATGGTAAATAATTTTTTTACTTAGGAGCAAAATTTGTAGTATCGGTAATGAATGGGGAACAAGATAATTTCAAAGACATTACTTGAAAGTTAAGTTTATCGCCAAAAAACAATTTAAGTTTCAAGAACATTTCGGAATATTTCACCAAACGACTATTAAATACTAAATCCCATTTCCAAGGAATATCCCAGATCATGCAGGTGGTTCTTTTTAAACGTAATTTAGCCAGTGCGGCCGGCCTGCGTCCAAGCTCGGTTACCATACATTTCGATCAATCTCGGCCAAATTTAAGATTGCAATGGACCTTTCTCCTTATTACTAAAATTTTGATCTAGAGAACTTGAACAGCTTGAAAGAGCATCACAAAATTACTAATATTCCAAAGTTTCTTTGCGAAATGTTGTAAAATGCGGATAATATAGCCTTGCGAAATTTGCCGTTTTTCAGTCATTTTCTATTACGCATGGGAAATTGACAGCCCAATCGGGTGTTGGGGCATCAATTTCTCGGTTGTAATACAAAATGACTGAAAATTGCAAATTTCGCAGGGCTATATTATCCGCATTTTACAACATTTCGCAACGAAACTTCGGAATATTACTAATTTTGTAATCCTCTTTCAAGCTGTAATGGAATTTTTGTCTTGACTTGTCTAGATCAAAATTTTAGTTATAAGGGGAAAGGTCCATTGCATGGCCATTGGCCATGGCATGGCTGAATTTAAGATCACAAGCTGATGAGATCTATCGGCGATAGGCGTATAGCTTTCGTATATTCGTATCTGTTAATGCCTTTCTTGCAATCTTCTATTAGACCGTGAACACTTTGTACCTAAAATTAATAAATATATAGCGTTGTGCTGTTCAAGCTTCAAGGTTCAGAAATTGAAATCGACTTAGCGTTTACTTGATTTTAATTCCGTTGGTGACTGTAGCAGCCGCGACTTCCGGCTGACGGACTTCCGGGTTTTTCGCGCCATTTTTAGATTGAAGTAGCTTAGCGATATCGAACTTTGGGGCGCTTTGTTGTGTTGCGGACTTGTTCCTACGTTTTTCGCCAGATACCAGTGTCCTGTCATAGATATTTGTAAGTAGATTGTCAGTATTTATATCTGTTTCTGTCCAGTATTCAGT